CTTCACTTCACACTCCAGAGGTTTAAGGAAAAGGGTAATGCCATTTTATTTAAAAAAACAATGAAGGCAGGTTATATTGATATATTGATTGATATATTTATTATATTCAAAGGCAAATTAATACTTAGTCCCCTGAATCTGGAATAATGCACAATTTACAGCACAGCCTCACCATGTCAGGAACTTTTCATCTACAGATTGTTTTGGTCTGGCTTTACCCTTCACTGATTGGTTACAGACACTTTGAACTTATTGGCTAATGAAATCAGAAGGAGGGGCTCATTATCATATAAAAAACCGCGCGAACATTCGCACGTATATTGGCCCGTTTTTTCGCGCGAAAAAACGGACCTCCCCGTATGTTCGCGCGTTTTTCACCCCCGTATTATGGCACTTTTGGCTTTCCATACATTTCATGCGCGTGTAAAGGCACATTTTCCACTCGTGAGTAGCTTGTTTTGCGCGCTAGAATATTGACCCAAATCTGACTCCATACCACACCCCCTACAGACACTATGCATTCCTCCATCACATGCACAGATGATTTCTAGAAGACTGGATCACACTTTTGAGCCCAAAGCACATTTTTGAATGAGTGGGGTTGGGGGGATGAGTAATATTTAACTCAACATTCATGTTTTTGTTCTTCAATGAAACAAATGATTGCTCAATAAAATAATTAAAACTGGTTCTGTTCTACTTACAAATAAATCTGTTGAAATGTCATGTTTTCTAATTGTATCATTTTGCATGGCAGTTTTCTTATGACAAAACAAAATGTTTATATTTATGCTTGGATATGATACAATTTGATTACATTGCCCTCAATTCCCAGTTAGTTCCCATACATTCCCATTAATTCCCATACATTCCCATAATTCCCATTATTCCCATGGAAAGTTTCCAATATCGAATATTTCCAAAATTCCCCAGCTTAAAGGTGGGGTAGGTAATTTTGGAGAAACCAGCTCGAGTGCGCTAGGATTTGAAAATACACAGCCGGAACAAATCTGCCACTTCGTTACAGGCCCCTCCTCCAACACACACGAACGTGCACATGACCAATGAAGGCAGGAGATAAGTTTGTGCACAGATGGAAGGCTGAAAGGCAGGTAGGCCATCCAGTTACTTTAGCAGGGCCGGCTCAGATGATTGGTCGTGCTTTTTACAGTACTACGGCTTCCACAGATGACATTTTTTACGGATTTTTTGTCAAAGCACTTAAGATATTCATTGCTATCGGGATGTTAAGAGCATTTCATGGAATATAACAAAAAGTGTATCTCGAGCCGGTTTCTCAAACTTACCTACCCCACCTTTAACTTCCCATGGAAATGTATCGGAAACTTACTAGAAATTGACCGGAAATGTTCCGCCCATTTGCAACCCTAAAAGCCAAACACATGCCCTTTTTCCCAGGTTGGCGTCAGGCTAGCCTCATGGTTGTGTTAGGTGGAGGATGAGGAGTGTGGGGATGAAGCATAGTGGCTCATCTACTGTGTGTCATCAACAGGTTGCTTTTGTTGGTTCGAGTGGCACAGTTCAATCATGCTGTTACTGATTAGCACCTGAAGCTAAATGCAACTCAACATATAAAATATTTTACTCTTTAAGACTCGTACCTTCCAGGAAGAGATTCAACATGACCACAAAAAACATAAAATGTCTACCAAGAGACACAAATTACCATAAAGAGAAAACAAATGACTTGAAACAGATACTAAACTACAAAAAAGGAGCTAAAAGATCACAAACAATAACATTGACACAAAATGACTACAATGGAACACAAAGCAACTACAAAGAGAAACAAATTAACTACAATGAGACACAAAACGACCAGGGACAGGAAATGACTGCAAAGAGACACAAAATGAACATAAAGTGACACAAAATGACTTCAGAGAGATAAGAAACTACAGAAAAAGAAGCAAAACGATCACCCCATAAAGCACACTATTACAGCGACACAGATAACTACAAACAGACACAAAGTTTTTACCAAAAGACAAAATACAAAGATGCATAACCACTATAGAGAGACATAAAGCAACAACAAATAGAGGATGAACTACTATAAATCTGTGGGTCCGTGCCAAGATGCCAATAGTCTGATGCTTCTGACAGGTTGGTACAGTCATTTATAGATAAGATAAGATAAGATGGTACTTTATTGATCCCAATTTGGGAAATTGTTTTTGTTGCAGCAGCATAAAAGACAAGGCATTTTACAATAAAACAAAACTACAAATAAACAAGAATAGAAAGAAAATAAAATAGAAAATATACATGTTGAAATAGAAAATATACATGTAGATATTATATATACAAATATACATATTCAAAAATATATGACATATAGTGTAGAAATGATACATTATAAATGGCTAAATACAACATCAATTCTATGAACCTGCAATCAAAGGTTAGTGGGTTTTCTTTGAAGTCATCGACAGTCCAAAATGGCCGCTAATTGTGAGAACACAGTAACACTTCTCTTCTCTCTTTATTTCTCTCTGCCAGGTAAGTGTTCTGACCACTCTGGAGAGACGCTTCAACCTCCAGAGCGCCGATGTGGGCGTCATTGCCAGCAGCTTCGAAATCGGCAACCTGGCCCTCATCCTGTTTGTCAGCTACTTTGGAGCCAAGGCCCACAGACCCCGCCTCATTGGTTGCGGCGGGATTGTCATGGCGTTGGGGGCGTTGCTGTCGGCCCTGCCGGAGTTCCTGACGCATCAGTATGAGTACGAGGCCGGGGACTCGTGGCACGCCGAGGACGGCAGGGACGTCTGCTCCAACAACTCCAGGTCAGAAAACCGAGACTCTGGGTTTAAGTGTGGCAACAGAGCCAACACCAACATGATGTACCTTCTGCTGATCGGAGCACAGGTTCTGCTGGGCATCGGAGCCACACCCGTCCAGCCTTTGGGAGTGTCCTACATCGACGACCATGTCCACAGGAAGGACTCCTCGCTGTATATAGGTGAGTAACACTGAGCTACTGTACACATGGAACACATATGATGATTGTAAAGTGTGTCTTCATAGTATTTATTGGTAAGAGGAGTTCTAACAGCTATTTTTTAACACTGAATTCTAAATCCTGTTGCAAATCCTTATGATGTGATCACTTGTGGTTGCTGAGATATTCACCCCTTTACAAATATATAGGACGGAAACACGTAACAGAGTTAGACACATTCAGAATCAGAGATTTAAAACAGCCTCTTTATTTCACATCGTCATACAAGGGGACTCAATGTCTAACGTGTGCTCGTAGAAAAAGGGAGGCTTAATAGCTGTTTGCTGAGAGTAGGATGCAATATATTAAAGGTCTCCTATCATGCAAAATGCACTTTTTGATGTCTTTTATACATAAATATTTGTCCCCGGTGTGTCAGGGAACTCATGCAGCGTCAGAAAATAAAACCCTCTCTCTTTTCCTCCGTACCCAAATCTCTAAAAACGGGGCTACAACGGAGCTGATCCAGATTTGCGTCCGATATGACGTAATATCGGAAATGTAGGCTGGCTTTACACCCACGGCCCTATCAGAAACGTTGCTATCAGAAACAATGCATGACTGATTTGGACGTAATATGGTTGGTGTTTACATTAGCATCGCTAACACTCAGAGCTAACCTGTACTGGAGAGAGCATGTGTGTGAAGAAGCAGGAAATAAAAAGGAGCTCACATTGTGGTATAAGTGTGCCTTGGCAGTCTCAGTGAGCTCCATACTGTTTCAGAAATAATCCTTGATAATCCATGATATGGTGTTTCATCACCACAGTATCTGTCGCATGAGCTCAGCCCCCTCCTTTTTTTTTATCCCATTTTTTTTAAAGCTTTATACCCCAAATCAGCACTTTTGAAACAGGAAGTGAAATAGAGGGATATGAGGCATGGCTAGAATGGGTGATCTGTTTGGTATTTTGAGCAAAACACTTCATAGACATGTTTTTTATATATTTGTATATATCTGAGACCTATGATATTGCCTAAAAATTCCATGATAGGTGACCTTTAATCTCTTCACAACATCGACATATGAAGGTAGAGCCAACAGGCAGCAAGACTAAAAGCAGGGCCAAAGAGCTAGTCAGCATGTAACAACTCCAAAAACCAAATCCCATTTTTATGTTTCTGCTAATGCAAAGACACTTTCCGAACCCATTGGCTATTGGTCAGAGAAATGATTAGGCTCTTGGGGAAGAGACCAGTATTTCTGGGGTTCCAGTTTAGCTTGTGGATAACCGGATAACAAGTATCAATACCAAGACTTCCTCTTCCGCAGGTAATTTTTTCACTCCGATAATCAGGTTGAGATGTGAGGAAAGAGTTGGAGTTGACAGAGGACCGGATTGTTTCCCTCCATTCGTATACAGATTTATGTTGGCAGAGATAAATTGAATGATGAATCAACGCTAGCTAGCAGAAGTGTTCTGAGTTTGCATTTTGGCAAATGTGTTCTGCCTCTTTTGCTCCCCTCATGGACTGTTGACCAGCATTCAACCAAAGTCCACTCCAACGTGATTGGTCAAAACTACTTAAGTGGAAAGCACAACGCTCCCGATACCAAAATCTGATCCCATGTCAACAGATAACTAATCAAATGCATACATTTGCAAACAGAGATTAAGATTAAACAAAATATAATATTTTTATTATTCACATGTTGAAGCATATTGCCCAAAATGTCATACCATTTATTTAACAATGTGCGTTCGGACAGTGAACCCATAAGGCTCTTCTGTTATTTAAATCACATTCTACATGTTTTCAAAGGCTGTTGAATATGGCGCTTGTTTCAAATGCCAATACACCCCATGTGACCAGAGTGTACAGATTAGTTATGGTAGTTGAAATAAAAAACAGACAATAATATTGGCTGAGACATCGAGAATGACCACAACACTAAGCTTAATTACACAACTTATAATAATGAAGAACATTATTAAGAACAAATCTTAAAAAAGAAAGAAAACAAACCTCTTTTGTCCCTCAACTAAGCAACAACCATCAACAGCTTGATCTTAAAGCTCTCTCAGTTAGCTGGAAGTAATAGGAAAACAAAGGCTAATGGCATAATAAAATCTGTACATTCAACATATCTATCAACATAAATGGGATGATTATGTTGTCATAAATAAAACATCACTGGGACATCAATTGCGTGCTCTAAATGATCAACTCTATTTAATTAAGACAGAGGATCCTTTTAGAAATACGAGATTAGTAAATACAAATAAACCAAATCTTATCACTGATATAATCTTCAATTATTAGTTCCAGCATTATTAGTCATGATAATTCCGACAATGGTTAATAACAGGTGCACATGCAGCAAAGTGAAAGCAGTGGTTGGGAGTTGAGGCAGGTTCAAAGACAGCAGCTATTTTAAGCAAGCTGATAAGAAATACTTGAGACTCATTAGAAGCAATAGCTCCTATAACAGTCTGAGTTTCAAGGCTCCTACCTAGGTTGTTCACCAGGTCCCCAAACCATCCAAATGATGTGTTTGAACTGTCCCAAAATGTGTCTAAATAATACAATTGTTTTCTTTCTTTTTGTCTTCCGTATTATTTATTTGCATAAAACCAAACAATTCAAATTATTAGGAAATAGAGCTAGTATTAGGAAATTAGGCAACAATTCCCTCTCAATTCCTTTTTTATACTTCTGTGAAAACCTCTCCTTCAAACATCTGTATTCATTATCCCTTTTTTGCCAGAAGCAACATTTTAGCAAGTATCATGAAAACATAATAATTTGCCCAATACTCATTATTAGTGAATAGAGCGTGAAAACAATGGTGTAGTGGCATCCAAGGTTTCCTCTTGCCACTATAGAGCGGGGTTGACGACACGCAATCCAAAGCAATAAGCAGCCGAAGGTTTTCAGTCAAAAAATGTAATTTATTAACAAAAAAGTATTGACTTAAATAGTCTCAAAATAACAAATCTAAATCAATATTTCGGCGATATACTTTCTTATATAAACTTTACTTTGCAGTCCAATTTGCAACAATAGTTTCTGTTTACAATTTGCGGTCGAAAAACTGTTCCGCTCCCCGTCTCATCAGGTCTCAGAGAGCTGCTGCTGTCCTCAATTGCCTCACTTAAATAAACACCGGAAGGTACAAGGAAACAGATCATATTTACGATTTGAAATGAACAATAATTTAATCAAAAGATATTCACCATGGCAATATAAATCATTTTCCATCATTAATTCATTTATCAAATTATGAATCTAAATAATAACTTTGACTTCATTGTGGCTCTAACAAATGGTTTTCCATGCAGCCATGTTACTGTAAGGTCAATGTTAGCTCTTTTCTTTAGCAAAACTGTGCAGCACTGTGGCAGCTAACAGCTAATGTCGCTAGCTAGCTTTCAACAAGGACTTTGATTCACATTACGTACATTGTTGATAGAAGGATTTGAATTCCTTGCCCTATCCTCTTTTCTGTGTGTGTGTGTGTGTGTTTGGGGCATAACCTCTGCTCCGCGCCGTTCCTATCTATATGAGCGGGTTCTCAAAAGAAGGAAAAATTCAAAGCAGCCAGGATAAGGGTTAAACAATAATCTGTTTTAATGGTAAAACATACAATACATCACCCAATCTCCTATTCACCTAATCACGAAGCACTCTGCAGAGTACTCCGGGCTCNTGATTCACATTACGTACATTGTTGATAGAAGGATTTGAATTCCTTGCCCTATCCTCTTTTCTGTGTGTGTGTGTGTGTGTGTGTGTGTGTGTGTGTGTGTGTTTGTGACACTACTAAAGACATAGATTTTTAATGCACTTGACAATTTCTAGGGTGTGGACTATTTTGCTTCCATAACATGTGTTCCATAACATGGTGTTTTTTTTCACTATTTGAATTGACCAAGAGTAAGCATTATACAATGCTGAATTAGCTTATACAAAATATATAATTTTCATTTACCTCTAGTGTTTTGCAAAAATGAATGACATTTAACATATCAATGCATTTCTTTAATCGGCATTATGTGTTTTTTTCGTATACTCTTATATGCACCAAAGGTTCCAGTGTTATTCTCATCTATAGTATATTCTGATGGATTATACTAGGGGTGGTTTAATCAAAGGTCATTCATAGCCTGATTTATGTAACATTGTATTTCTAAAAACATGGAGAAAATGTATGTGTTTTATGGCTGTTGACAGTCATTTCTAAAACAAAGAAATATGTACTCTCTGTGAAAAGACCTTTGACTCTTATACATCAAATTTAAAGTGAAAGTATCATAACATTTGTTATACAAAAAACAAGATTCAATATATCCTGCCCTTTTTCTAAGTGCCCCTGAGAAAACCACTTTTCCCATCTTTTACAAATGCTCAGTGGCCAGCAGCAGAGCTCTGCAGTTAAACTTACAGCAGGAACCGAGGGGTCTACATAACACACATTACAGTGTGTCTGCCAAAGTTGCCAAGGCAACAGTGAGGAGACAGGCACCGAGGCTTCATGCTATCCCTGTTGGTCTCACCGCTCAGCGACCTGCTGTAGCAGCGCTCCATCTGGGGAGATGGAGAGAATGAGGAATATAAATGTACAACATAATGTTTGTTTTTGTTTGAATAATAGAATTTCAGCCAGTAAATCTGAAAAAGTGGAGCTGTGGTTCCTCTTCTCTAGGTGTGACTTTGAATGGACACACAAGCATTACAAGAGTGCTAAAAATGTATTAACATACAAACATGATATGCCAGCAGTGGGAAAATACACTGGTCAATTTAAAAAGTTACATTCACATCCTTTGTATTGAATATATCTTTAGTAGGTTGGTTTATTTGATTTGACATGGCCATCACAGTAGGATAAGAGTGGTATCATAGATTCATGAACAAGGACCATGTGCACTGTGTTTAGCCTTTGTTGCAACATTTACAAGACCTCTGCTCAGGAGGCTTTAAAAAGAACCAATTTATCTGTCATTATTATCCACAAAACTGCCTA